CTCAATCTTATTTTTCATCAGAGAGTTGGCACTCGTAAGAAGCCAGTGCCCATTAGAACCACAATGTGATGGAGGATCAATACTGACTTAAAGGGAAGAATGCCTCTCTGAACCATAACTGATATTTGCTGCAGTGGAGAGGGTTCCCCAAGGGCCATCAGCCAGGGCCTTAGCCTTGCTTTCTTAGCAGAAGGCACATAACAACTGTTGGCTAAAATATTTCCTCATTCAGATGCCAAATTGCACTTATTTATATTTCTTCTGTTATCCTCTCTCCTGGATTCCTGTGTCTTATGTGTTTCTGGAGAGCGTGAAAATGTTCGTGCAGGATAGTAGAAGTTTCTATCAAAGGTCATATACGACCTAACACTGGATATAGTTTACAGCCTTTATTCTTATTTTTATGCTGGTGGGTTCCCTGCATTAAGGAGCAATTCAGCTTTCTAGCCATTTTAGAGAAAAGAAAATCTGGGGTGGTACTCCTGGATTCAGTCCTTACATTAATAATCCTAGGGGAATTAAGTGAGCCTTCCTATTTTATAGCAAAATAGTACATATTCTCATCCTGCTTATTTCCACAGAAACACAAATACAAGATGTGTGGATTGAATTCCCTTATGAGTTTGGTACTAAGAATAGCAGCTGGCTCTTTGCCTATCTATGCTGCCGTCACCAGTGGCCCCGGCTATTGGCAGGAGTCCTGGGCATATCATACACAGACATCAATTGTAATTTCTTAAAGGAAAAAAAAAAGGGAAAGCCCGGGATTTGATTCATAAAATAGCATAAACATACTCCCTTTAGAGAATTAATCATCCTGTTCTGCCTTAGTAGCTTTAGTTTCCATTTTTAAGTGTATGTTGGCAAGGATTTCTATTGAGGAGAGGTAAAAGCACCCCTCTTTTTACTGAGGCACCAGCATCACCTTTCATTGAGTCCATGTGTCCAAGTGTGCCATCTTGTATTTATAACCATCTAACTTCATGTATGAAGTGTCCCACTGACCATATCAAATTATAATTTACTATGCCTCTGCAAACCTTTAGAGAGTCTCTTTCATTTAGAGTTGTCATTCTTGTATTATTTTAAAGTCAACTATTTAGACTATTTAGAAACCAGATGCATATTTTTACATGCACTTGGGTCTCCAGTTCAGCCTACATGAAGCCACCTTCACATACCTTTTAAATTCATTTACCTTTTAAAATAATAGTAATGGCAAAAGACATCTGGCCATGAAAACACATTATAAGATTTTTATATAAAAATGAACTTCCCAAGAAAGAGGTTCCTCTCTCTACCATAGTTATTTTCTATCATTTCAGTGGGAGAGATGGCTTCCAACTGGCTTCATTTGTCTACATCACACCTTAGACAGTGGCTCCTCAATTCTTAACTTTGGGTCTGCTGCAGCTGAGGACAAAGCAAAAGGAAACTAAGGGCCAGGATGGAGGTTGTTGGGGTACAGAGAGATAAGTGTGAATCCTGGGAGTGAAAAGTTGTCTAGGAACTTCTATCAGGGCTGCAAACTCATCTTTTAAAGGGCCTTAAGCACGTTCATATTTCTCAGTGGTCTGAGGAGTGGCATCTTTCCTTTTTGTACCATCTTATCTATTGCTTCCTGTGAAAGGTTCTCCTCCCCAAACTTCCTGAAAGTCAAATACCATCTTACTCTATCATCTTATCCCTAAAACCCGTAGCCATTTTGAGTTTCTCAGAAGAGTTGAAATGTTCTTGCTTTCATTGGCACACTCATTGTTGCTAGCCTAAGCCTTCAGAGAACAAACACCAACCACTTAAAGAAACAGTCCCAGCTACAGTGGCCACCTGACCTGGAATCTGGTATGATCTGCTCGAAGACAAAGATGTCCAAATAGATGTCCTTGACACATAGTTCATTAGTGACTTTCACAGCAACTGTTTGAGAACAGTAGAAAGTTAAAAGCATGATTAGTGTGGGTTCAGGAGAAAAATGGGGGTACTGGAGAGATGGCTCAGAAGGCAAGAATAATACTTAACTATTCTTGCAGAAGACCTGGGTTCAAATCCAAGTACCCACATGGTGACAAGCAACTGTCCGTAACTTCAGTTCCAGGGGCTCTGACACCCATTTCTGTCCTCCATGAGCATTGTGTGACACAGGTACACTTACATACATGCAGACAATACATGTATACACATAAAAGTAATTTTTAAAAAAAATTTTTAAAGAAAAATTGTATGAGAAGAACTGAGGTCATAACCTCGTTAATTTTGTCAAAGGGTTTTGCTATAAAAGGAACCACACATTGAGGTTGTAGCTGGAGGAGGAGTGGAAACCACAAAGATTCTCCACCCCCTCCACAAGTTTAGAGTTATCACAACAAACATATATGCTGAGGGAAATGATCACAGGGAGGAGTAAACTTTGACAATGCAGTAGGGAGGGTGCGGCTGCCAGAGCACCAGCAGTAGTACAAGAGCACAGCCTCAGGGCTCGGCCTCAGAGAGTGGCAGAGGTTGATCCATCCTCATGGAAGAAAAGGAAGGTACATGTATGTAATTGGTAGGTGCTAGACCTTGGGTGGAGCTTCGTGTGGGAGTTGTGAGACCAGGACCCAGAGGTGTGTGTGACCTTGGATGTACTTGGTATGATAGTTTATGGAGGCATCTGTCTGCCTTACAAAGTTATTGTGAGGATAAGTGTAAGTTCAGGACATTATTATTGTGAGACTCAGCTTTGAACTCCTTAGCACTTTTCTTTGCCAAGAAAGTTTTCAGTTTTCTCTAAAACAGCTCCAGTATCTCTAGAGACAGCATCTGGCTTGTGCCACAGACTTATTCAGTCACTGAATCTAAGAAAACAACCTAACCTCCTTTTGCTTTTATTCCTCAGTCTATAATATGGTGGTAGTATTTAAGGTGCAACAAATGCTTTGTAAATTAATGTGCTGTTTAATAAATACAAGCCATTCATAAGACAGTATTTCAGTCCTCACTGGTGTAGGCATTGGCAAGTCAGGTCAGAGTCTTCAAATGAACCCCTAAGTCTTCAATGGCAGATGGCTCCCTTAGAATATTGTGAAAGAAGGTAAGCATCACCACACAGGAGCCATTCATTTTGCATCCCTTTGTCCCTACTGCTACTCTGAGATTATTAAAACCCAAGACTCAAAGGCATTCAATTATCCATTGAAGCTCAGATTTTATACCAAGTCTACCTAAAATTCCATGTTCTTTTTTCCTTTTGCTACATACAGAATTGGCCTTAATAGTGCATTAGAAACTATGGGACTTTATATAATTTTCTCACATTCTAGATCCATATTTTTGCCAACATAGCCTCTGCTCAGTTAATCAAAGATTTTTAACTAGAATTGCCCAGTAGCACTATAAAGTTGTTTGTTGGCGAGCTCATGATGGAGTAGTATACAAGACATCAACTGACCAGAGATTATGGAACATTTGGGAGGGAACAGTTATCCAACTGAAAATCAGCACTTAGCTACAAATGTACTTTTCACACACCCTTTGGGGCAAGATGATGGGTACTAGAAAAAAATTAATTTATGTGACCATGGGAACCGCAGAACCACCAGGTCTGTGCTCTTTCCTGGGGGCGCAGTGTGTACGCTGTAAGCTGCAGCTCAGAAACTCCTCTAAGAGAAAATCACTGCTCTATTAGATTTTGATTTTTGAGTAACAATTGCCCACCTGATAGAGAAAGTGATAAGAAAACTGTATTTATTTTCTTCCAACAGCTAACAGGTGATCATACTTCTAAAATTTGTAGAGATTGTCCAGGAAACTGTGTAAAATACTCATCCATCACTGGAAGCCCCTGGTCAGGAAATGACAGTGCAGTAAATATCTTCAGCAGCCACCTTTTAATGTACAAGCTGTTTTCGGTTGGAATTTTCAGCGCTCACATAAAACACACTGTCATGAGTGACTGCTTGTGCTCCAAAGTCATTACTATTGGGATAATGGAACATCTCTCAGCGAATAACCAAAAAACTTTAAATGTCATGCCAAGTTTGTTGAAGCCATTTTCAAGTCCTGTTCAAGGTTACATGAATACTGAGGCTATCTCTTTTTTTTTAAAGGTGTTGCTCTATGAGTGAGTCCCTCATAAGGGTGTGCAGTGTGCGTCAATTAGAAGAAAATATATGTCTCTTTAGGGAAGTTAATTGGCCAGCACCATTTGGCCTGTTACCGAGTCACAGTCATCATCACTTACCAGTATCTGCCTATATGTGTGCAAGTATGTGTATGCAGATGTCCTAGACAATTTCATTATGATAAAATTCTGCTTTGTTAGGAAGTACGGTTTGCCTAACGAGTTCATTATTTCCTTTAAGGAAACTTTCTTGCTTTTATTTATTTATTTATTTTTTTTTGAGAATCTTCCTTCCTTGCTATTGTTCAGAAAGAAAATCTGAGTCTCAACTTTCTGTTGGGTTATAGTCTGTGCAGGTGATTTATTTACTCAAATGAACTCCCTGAGTGCTTAGTTTACCCCAGGACCATTCTATGCACTGAAACCACAGGACTATTTATAATCATGTCCCTGCTGCCTTGGAGCACAAATTATCATGAAAAGACACAGAGTGGACAAGTAAACAGATAGTGGTGTATGTGGTGGTTGTGAGTTCGATGAGGGGACAGAAATAGCATAATGACATAATGACGAGCATAAGTTCTATGTTACGGTTAGGAAGGCCTCTCTGTTTAAGTGGTGTTTGACCCAAATCTTGAAAGAAATGGGGGACAAAAGTCTGATAATAACCTAGTATCTGGTGTTTGAACATAAAGGAAGAAGGAAATAAGCATTGTTTTCTATTATATTTTCATTGATTCCTAAGCTCTACATGTTTATTTTTAAATTTACATTTCTACTGGCTGTTTTTTAGTCTATCTAAGAGGACTTATTCATTGAGAATTAAATTTATGTTTCATAATGTGCCCAGGCCTTGTTATAAACACTGACAGGTTTTATGTTTCTTTCTTCTTTACTGTAGAAAATCAGAAAGTGCAGTTGACAGAAGGGTCACGTCCACACTACAATATCAATTGCAGCTCCACAAGGACTGCAGTCGCCAAGGAGCTTAATTATAATCTAGACACTCGTACGTCTACCGGGAGGATCAAGGCAGTTGAAAAGAAGGAAGCCTGCAATGTAGAAAGCAAGAGAAAAAAGGAAATGGAACTTCTTGGCTCTGTTTCTAAAAGCGAATCAGTTTCCGAAGTTGAAGCCCTGCTGGCAAGATTACGAGCTTTATAAATTAAACTGGTAAAAAAAATGATTAAACCAAACACAAAGCCATGCTTTCAGCTGTAACACTTGAAAACTTGCTTTTATATAAGTGACTTTATAGAGTTTTAAATTATGATATATATATATAAAAAATGCTAAATACATGATTGCAATGCTTTTTCTCTGTACTTGAAGCGTTGGCTTATTCAAGACTGTAATGGGCTTTAATGCCTGTCTCTTTGTCTCCTGGTGTTCATCTAGTCAATATCTGCTGATTAAATCGTAGATGTTGCTTCAGAAAACAGGTTGGTGGCCATGTGTTCATGTGTCCTTAAGAAAATACCATCTTTCTAAGTCATTGTAATTTTTGCTGCTTCATCACTAATTAATGAAAGATCATTAGCATGAAGACTTGCTACCTGTCCATATGCATTCCATATTTGTTATATCCCAGTATATAACATCAGAAATAGGTAACTATATCAGAGCTGAAATGACCAGCAAGCTCATCATCATTGTTGATTCATGTTAACTTGACCCCAGAATGCAACTGAGCATATTTCCAAAACTGCTACAGTAGGAACGATGCACTTTCTTTGCAAAATGCATGAGCTTTCTTATAAAGTAGGTACATACACTGTGTTACAGTACTGCCCCAAACTCCTGGCTAACGAAAGAACATTTTCCCCTCAGTAATTATGACTCTGAATAAAATTACTATTTTGAAACATTCCAAGAAATGAATTTTAATTGTATGCGCAAACTTTAGAGTTTCAGTTTCTTTAAGCTGACAATCAATAATTTTAACAATCTGAATGAGTGTTTCAAGGAAAGTTTCCGTATGCAAATGTTGCAATAGTACCTCATTTTGACATCATTCCTTTGTTAATTCCATATCAAAGAAAATAAACTTGCTACTTGCACTAAAAAAAATGTGTCTTTCTTTTGCACAGGTTCTGTGGTGAGCTGGATACAGGCTTGGCTATGCTGTCTCAGCATCCCTTTTGCTTTATTACCTGTGCTGAGTACGTGCTCTGTAACTGTCAGTTAAGAAGCAGTTATATGGAACTAGTGTGGTGAGGTCTACTGCTTTTTATTTCCTTGTTTAAGCTGCCCCCTCCTTTCAGCTCAAAGTTAATAAAACTAATTAATTCGAACTATGAACCAAGCCCTGTTCATAGGCATCAGAGAAGTGTTCATCACAGCCAATGTAGGAATGAATTTGGTCCCACAGCGTGGAGCATGCAGTATGCCCTCCCGTTGCAGCTATTTTCCTGAAAACAAATTTTAAAAATCAGGGAAAGAGAAGGACATGTATACACTTAAGCAGTCAGAATTGTTTTGATTAGGAAAGATGCCAAATGGAAGAATTCTATCTCCTAACATGATTTTGCCAAGTCTTAGACTTCTCAAAAAGGAAAATTAAACCAGATAGGTTGAACATACAGGTATAGGAAAACACTGGATACTTGAGCAGCCACAGGGGAGAAGCTGGCAAGTAAAAGAAAATCAGGATGACACAGGCTCCCAAGGGCAGAGGAAGGCAGGGAAATACAGAAATGGAACACGCTGGCCCCAGAGCATGTCTGCAAGAGCTGACAGACAACCTTGAAGCAAGAAGACCAAGAGCCCAAGGCAGGCAAGTATCAGCAATGGCTGATCCGAACAGTATAGTCCCAGCACTCTCTCTCCCTGGATGACAAGAACCAATTCTGAGCAAGCCTGGATAGAAGAGCCCAGAGTGATGGAGAAGACAGCTCAAGTTGAGAGTGCCAACTCAAAGATGACTCTGTTGGAAGTATTTCTTATATATATATCCCTTTAACCAAGGGCTATGGGAATGATTAGACTTTAAGAATTTTTTTTTTAATTTTATGTGTATGAGTGTATTGCCTGCATGTAGGGAAGTGCACCTGAGTCATACAGTGCCACAGAGGACAGAAGAGGCTGTCGGATCCCCTGGAACTGGAGTTACAGACAGTTGTTAGCTGTCATGTGGGTGCTGGGATTTGAACCCAGGTCTTCTGCAAGAACAGTGTTCTTAACCGCTGAGCCATCTCTCCAGCTCCAATTAGAGTTTTAATGTTCATAATATTCCTTTAGCAAACTACACATGAAAACTATAGTGGTGAGTGTCCTTTGAGGACAGATCTCATGGTTTGATTTCTAAAGAAAGTGTTGAATTAGTAGTAATGATAGTTAATTTTTTATGTCAACTGAGAAAAGATTCCTCAGATAGCTGATAAAATATCATTTCTAGGTAGGTCTGTGAGAGCCTTTTCAAAGAGGTTATACTGATAGCAACTGAATAATGATGACGCTTCCCAATGTAATGGGCACCATCTAATATGGTTCAGGGCACAAACAAAAAATGAAGGGCAAATTTCTTTCTGCTTGAACTGGGCCGTCCATGGTCTTCTGTCCTGAAACATCAGCCCCTCTCTTGTTCAGGCACCTTAGCCTGGACTAGAACTACACGCTCAGTTTCCCAAGCCCATCCCTTATGGTAAGTTTGTTCCTACTTGTCTCTATATAAAATCTATTGATTCTACTTCTCCGCCTAACTCTAATAGAGTACATAACTGGCATCTTACAGAACTCATGCCCTTGACGATGAAGTTCTACCCAGGCCAGTTGCAGGCAGATTATCTTACCTTTTCTCACAGTGGTAAAATGAATTTTTCTGGAACACAGACAGCTGATTGTTGATTTGTTCAAAAGCAAAGACCTACTGCTAACAAGCCTTTTCAAGCATTCAAAATAAGTATAATAAAGGAATCTCATTAGGTATAAAGTTTAATATATATCTGAATAGTTGAACAAAATATATCAAAACTGCTCAAAGTTTTAAGGTTCAGGAATTGTAGTTGGCAGTTGCCCAGCAGCATTCATTTTTGTCTGGTGAATTGTTAAACGGTAGCTATTACATGCCCTTGCCAGGCAGGAGTGTTCTTAAAATATGTCCTAGGGCCAAATTGTTCGAGCATTTTGTTCTAAGAGCTGCTGTTGAGCAAAACAGGTGGTTTTGCCAAAGAACCACTGAGCTTGGACGGCACTGCAGGAGTCAATCCAAATCTCTCCATAAAATGAAAATGATAGAGCTTTAACCCATGAACGCTCCTTATTCTTACAAACACCTTTAACCTTAATAGTGGGTATAAGGAGAGTGTTAATAGTGGGCGCAAGGGATTGAGGTGGCGCAAAAAAACCAGTGTGTCCAACTAGAGTTTAACTGTAGACACCTTTTCCTCCTATTCAGTAATTATGTTTTAGTGAATTTCTTTTCTGTAGACTTTTGTTAAGTGTTTTCAAGAACTTAAAAGAAATCTTGGTCTTTTTCAACAAACTTAAAATGATAGGTTTAGGTGGGCTGAAGCGGTTAAGAGCAGTGGCAGCACTTGCAGAGGACCAGGGTCTGGTTCCCAGCAACTACATGGCAGCTAACAGCTGTCTATAACTCTAGTTCCACGGGATCTGACCCCCTCTTCTGATCTCCACAGACACTGCATTTCATGCAGGCGATACACTCATACACATAAAATAAAAAATAATAAAATATTTTTAAATGATAGATTTAGGTTTTCTTTTTCTTCTTGTTTTCCATTTTGAAACCCAATCACTGCACAAAAGTGTTTTGAGGGCCAGCAATATGACAAGCAAAAGTGCCTGCCACCAAGATACCAGAGCCCACATGGTAAAAGTTGTCTTTTGACCTCTGCATTGCACACATACTCACCCATACTAGATAAATAAATAATGTAATTTTTAGAAGTGTTTTGAAAGTTCCAGATATTGCATCTTGCAATTAATATTACCAACATGTTCCATGTTCCCACAGAGCTGCATTAATATGGATTTCTCATTGAAATCTAATTTTTAAAGGCCTACTGAATAAAAGAATTAGAAACCAAATTTCTGGATTATGTCTTGGGGCAGATTATCCACAGGCTTCTGCAACAGTCTTTGAAAGTATTTTAGTATTATGTTTCTTGACTTTTTTTGACAGTATTTAAAGGTTGAGATTTTACACTTTTCTCTTGGCATTCTTACTCTATGTTATATTTGGACCTATTTCTAAAAATTTCCTTTTTCTCCTCATTTTCTAACTATGCTTTACTAAAATGAATGTTAAAACTGAGTTTCCAGTGAGAAACTATCTGATCTTAATATAATCTGAGTAGGTGTGAATATTATTCAGATATGAGCCCTTTATGTCAGAAACTACAATAAAATAATTAAACCCATTGAAATAAGTAATCTCATAAATTATTTCTTGAGACCAGATCTAGAGTCTCAAATATGTGTATTCCAGTGAATGTTGCCTCTTCAACATGTGCTTTCTCACACAGGGCTGACTCTGATGGAATAAGGCAATCTCTACATCACAAAACAGAAGATTTGGGCTAGAGACATGGCTCATCAACTAAGAATTCAGATCCCAGCCTCCATATCAACTCACAGCCGCCTGTAACTCCAGCTCTAGGGGATCTGATACCCACTCCTGTCCGCCCTGGGCACTTGCACACACAGCACACACACAATACACAAACACATAAATTTTTAAACATTAAACAAGAGTAACCGTATTTGATAATTTGCATGTTTAATGCATTAGCATCTATAAAGTAAATACTATTGTATGACTGTATTGGTATATAGAAATGTTTACATATATTGTAATTATTTCCTTTCAAGCCTCAATATGTTTGTCAGTTCTTTTCTTTAAGACCAAAATTATTCAACAAATACCCTTTATAACTAAAACATCCAACCCATTAGGGAAGCTTCATTTAAAATGGAAAAATTATTTCCTTCCCTTGATTCAGATACAAATGCCTGGCCCTTTTCAGTGCAAAACTGCTAGTTGTGTAATAAAAGCAAACAGGTGCCTCTACAGCCTGAAGAAAATGACATTCTCTTTGGAGGGCCTCATCTTGAATCCCTTCTTTTCCTTAATGACCTCATAAGAGCCACTCTGGTGATTGTGAGAGCCATGGCTGACATCCCACATCTGTGGCCTACCCAGACTGTAAGAGTCCAATTTGATTGTGATAATAAATAAAATCTTGTCATACTATTACAGGATGCTTGGCAAGGACTAGAATTAAGGCACCTTTATAACTCCCAAAGGAATCTGGTGATATTTCTAACGTGATCTCGCACATCATTCTGTCCTGCCTGACCTTCCTTGTATCTCCTTCCTGAATTATAGCTTGTGTCGGTTATCCTCTCCTCCTTCTGCAGCCTCTCCCCAAGATAAAGGATTGCTGACTTGGAGAAAACAAACCTTAAAAAAAAAAATTTCTAACGTGATCTCGCACATCATTCTGTCCTGCCTGACCTTCCTTGTATCTCCTTCCTGAATTATAGCTTGTGTCGGTTATCCTCTCCTCCTTCTGCAGCCTCTCCCCAAGATAAAGGATTGCTGACTTGGAGAAAACAAACCTTAAAAAAAAAAATCTCTGTGAAAAAGGAAGTGAGTTAAAATGTCCTCGAAATCACAGCATATGTTTTCTATGGAACGTTTACTACCTCCATTAGGTTAAATGTGTCTCACTATGAAATGAATACTGAAGGTTTCTTAGAGGTTAAAGGACCTCCTCAGGAAGTGTCCAGCTTCATTCCTTAACATCTTCTGGGATGTAGAAAGTCAAGGAAACATTTGGTATTCACCAAGTATACCAACTCACCTTCTATTTCTCAGTGACGCGTTCCTTCCTCCTGGCGCTCCTTAAGGCAGCCGCCTCTCAGGCACTTCATGAATCTACCCAGAAAGGAGGGGTTTTTGCTATAATAGCATTGCATCTCTCCAGAGAAGCTTAACAGCTTCTTTCAGACAAGTCAAAAATCACACTTCACGTAGCAACGGGCACACTTCAAGGACACTGAAGGATGAGGGTATTAGTGGCACATGGGAATGAATAGCAG